AATGCATGTATTCATAGTCAGCTGTCGAAGCGACGCCAACGCCAACGAAACGCCAAAGTTGTATGTAAACGGGCCTTTACGTTATCCATTGTCAACGAGTGTCAGCGCGCGCTATCCCCAAATCAACGCGTCGTAATTTTTGACGTTTTCTCAGGTCCTCTCGTTTTTATTCTCGTTTCCTCTTTCACTTGTTTGTCCTTTCTCTTTCTTACCGTCTTCTGCATCCAACTTCAACACGTAACGCCCTGTCAAAAATGAAAATTCCATTTGCTCGGCGTAAGCGCCGCGTTATTGTGGGATGCTTCATACAAATTGTATGGGCATGAGGATTTTTGACAGTTGCTTGGCGCTTGACGCGCCAATTTAGGGATGGCAGTTACTTTTTCTGGTACAAGTAGAATCGAGTCCTTTCTATCGATACTTTGAGTAGCATTCAGTACTTGAGTAGCATTCAGTATTCGATACTTTTAATAAGTATGCAACGAGCAAAGGGTGGTATAGCAGTGCTTGCACTGTTCAACTTTGCGTTCAACTCAACGCAGGGTTGCACGAAAAAAAAGTTGAATGGCTTAATTTTGGCTGGCACCAACTTTGTTGAAAGCGATTGGTTGAAAGGCCGTTCAACCAAAAGTTGAACAGTGCAAACACCTTTTTATGGCGAATATTTTGATATTTTTCATATTTTGATATTTTTAGCCATTCACCTTTTTTTTTTTGTGCAACCTTGCGCTGAGTTGAACGCAAAGTTGAACAATGCAAACACACTTTATCAGACGAACACTATCGATAGTAAAGGTGTATTCAGCAGGCGGTCAGCCGCGCTGCCTCTTCATTCCTGCGGTAGTTTACGTATTTACGGGTTTACGTGACCGGAACAAGATCACGCGGGAAGGAAAGAAAGAAAAAAGTTATTTTCTAGCTGCCGAAATCTCGACGCCATCTTTGTTGTAAGAAGTAAACAACGAAGAGAACGGAGAAAACCGCGAAATTGTTGAACGCATGAATAATCATTTGTATTATGCAAATTCTTCTATAAATCATGCCGTTGTGTTAAATTATTCTTTATCTTTTGTGTACACGCGTTGTCACAGGCGAAAATGAAGAAAATTGCAGTAAAAAGCCACCACCAAATTGTAAACAACGAAGAAATGTAAACAAACGGCTTATGTCAAAATCGTTAAACTTTTTTCCTAAATGCAATTCTAACGGGCTACTCTCCAGCCCGCGTGATCTTGTATTTTTGGTTCATGGATTTATATCTGACCAAGGACTGTCACTGAAGCATCATTTCCTAAAAACTCTTTGGAGAATTTGTATGAACTTTAAAACAACAAGCTTGCCTTGTACTCTACATTTTTATTTAGATTTTTTCAAAAATCAATTCTCTCAAAATAGACCGTTAATATTGAAACTTGCTCATACAATGCAACTGCAAAAACCATTTTTTTTTTTAATTTACTTATAATACAGAACAGCTACCGCCCAGTTGGATTAAGATGTGGTACAGGATACCGGAGCGACCCAAAATTTGCCGCTGGCTAAGACCTCTTCTTACATTAAGTCCGTTCCAGGTACTTCACGGTTTGCAGGAATTTATGGCGAAAACAGCTTTTCCTGTAAAACCTGCAAATCTTGAAACACCTGGAATACGTTTATTATGTCACAAGAAATGTGTAATCAAATTTTGGAACCGACTTCCCGATTAGCTAGACTTTAAACTTTGCTCAGAACCCAATGCCAAGGCAATATGAAAGATGAATTAATCCGCTAGACGGCGCAGGAGCCGAGATATTTTGAAAACCCGTATTTAAGGTCCGATTTGGATTTGCCAATTCTTTAGTGGTCGAACGAAAGCACTTGCGAAACAATTGCCTAGATATATATTTTACAGTAAACATTTTATTTTAAAAATACTAATATCAATGATCACAGACCATACATTTTTATACATTAAATACATTATCCCATATCATATTAAAATGTTTGATGCATTCAAATACCAGTATGGACTTTTATACAATAATAAATTAAATAAATTCGTAAACCAAATAACGATAGCGTTGTAGCATTTTTTGATCAGACTCCAGTTTAAATAGATCGCTTTGACCCTTCACCTGCAGCTCAGCCTTGAAGAACAAATATTTTTATTTCTAAATATAACATTTGAAAAACAAAAATAATCATGGTTCTCCCACCTTATCATCATTGTCAGACTTGTTTTCATAGAAGTTAAATGTAAGAGGTTTCGTTCGATGGCCCACAATGTCATTCACATCTAAACATGGATTAGAACTGTAACTAATAATACATCTCTCCAAACTTATTTCATCCAAATGTGCCGAAACTGAAAAAAGGTTTTGAAAATCCGCCTCGTTGCGAACGTAACAAGCATGAAAGTGTAATATACGCAACGTGGGTAGTAGGCAAATGTAAGGAAGCATTTCTGAAAACGCCATTGGATCAATAGCTAGAAGCAAATGTCGCAGGTGCGTATGCAAACGCAAATCAATAATTTTTGGGAATATCGTTGTGATATCACGTGTGCTTATCCCCTCAATACGATGCGTGTTACGTAGCTCCACTAGTTGGTTATTTAACGTATCCAAGTTAGGCGTAGAGTACAAATCACTGACCTGCAGCTCCTTCAATTGCTTCAGATTATTCAGTTGTGGCGTGAAATAGGATAATTCATAAGAGTTCAGCACCAACACACGTAAAGCAGAATTTTCTAAGGCATTGTCCGATAGGCGAGGTAGCTCTACTTTAAAGCTCTTCAGTATTAATGTATGTATAGGTAGTTCTCGTAATATATCTTCTAAGTAGTCGAATTGGAAGGTGAAACAAGAAGTGAGTGTCAAATATTCTAAACGCTTCCACATTATAAAGCCTGCGCCAGTGAACTTTCCAGCTGGATGCAAGATTTTTATATTTGGAAATATACCATACAAAATGGCTACGAATTCTTGTTGCAGCAACTGTGCCCCTTTCACTGAAATGTACAACTTATGCGTATTGATAAACTGGAATTGCCGCAGCACATTTATGAACTCAACGGACTCGCATTCGAGTTGAAGGTGCTCAATATGTTGGTGCACATTTCCAATGAACACTTTTAGTTCCC